TCAACAACTCATGCATGGTCACTGAACCTCTTGTATACTACAGAACCGTGGCATAGTCGGTCCATAACCAGGCATAGCTGAACTCTTTCGTGTTCATCTTCGAACACTGATCGCAAGCACTACTTCAGTCAGTCCCGACCGGAGAATGGCGAATGATTCCATTGGCGCTGCTCTGGACTGCATGAAGCAAGAAGCAATGTTAACTCTAGCTTTGCAGCTGTGCCATATCTGACTGAGGCATCGGAAATGACATGCAGCTGTGGTCATCCACTTAGAATGAAGACATCACTCGTCGTTCACATACGTTCAACTCATCAGGGCCAGTGCTTGCAACAAGGCAAGGCAGGAGTTACTGCCAATCGGAAGGCTCCTCCATTGAGCCGACTAATCCGTCTTATTGAGAGTTCACTCTCAGTTAGTTAATATTAGTGGATGTTGTCTGTGTTCATATAAGGGGAGGCTGTCAACCAACAGAAGGAGCTTGCTTTCTAGCGTCGCATAATCTTGTTTACTCTTATTTTCTTCAATTGGGAGACTAACCACTATCAGATTGATGCGGTGGTGGATGCCAGCGTTCTCGGCATACCTAAACCGAATGAATGACACTAAACGGGTCCTGTGTGGATCAGTCAACTACATACAAGAGCCGCAGCGGAGGTGTCATCACTTATATCAATCCTCTGTGATGCATGACAATAAAAATTTGGTTTCGATTTTCTTCACATATTAACTATTTAATTTTGAAATGTTAACTAAGGTGTTTAAGTGGCGACCGCAGCCTCATCAACTAAATTACACGCCTATCTGGACAGGCTTGTATTATAGTCCAGAGCTCACTTTTTTATCGCTGAATGCATCAAGATGCAATAACGTCATTTTCTCCTTACATAAAGGCCATCGTTATCAGCAACTTCTCATGGAATACCCCAAACTTCACATATATGGCAAGAATTTTCACACCAGAGTGTGACTGAAGTACCTAGGTGTAACATTCAGTCATGATCTTTCCTGGTCACTCTATGTTACTGATGTTTTACGAAGGTGAGGTATCTTTCATTCGACGCCTTTCGTTTGCGATCCTCCTCTGTCCCTTGCCACTTAATTCTGTAATTTATCACCGCATGTATCTTACTTCTTTGGATCTATTGCTCCACTGTGATATTTCCTGGTTTCCTAAGGAAGCACTTCAAAATCCTAGGTAGATCACTGACGCAATTATCTCGCTGTAGTTGAATTCCCAAGCCGACATTCGTTGTGATTTTTGTGTCCACTCACACCAATTCATGCATAAGGCTTCCTTCGAGAATACTGATAGAAGTCACCCTCTTCATGATACACATAACAACTATCAACAACAGCAGTACGCCAGCCACTTGAACTGATGCTTCGCTGCTATACGACCTTGATGATCTAAGGAATAAAGAACAATAAGAGGAAGAGAAGGGGGACTTACGTGAAAACCTTAATGCCCTAAGCAAACATTCAGGGTGAAAGCGCCTACACCTTGTGTTAACAACATACCGTCACAAACAGCTGATTATCGTGTAAAGATAAGGCGGCATCGGCGACACAGCTGCCTTTCGGTTTTCACTGTCCCGTGTCATAATCTGCCATTACCCCGCAGATACCTCGGTACCAAACAACTTAAACAGGCAATCCGACTAGGAGACAGCAGCAATCGAGCCAGTGGTGTCGGTTGCGAGCCATGTCCTGTAAAGTCTCAAATCAAGCACAAGCACGTGGACTCCAGCGCGGAAGGTGAGACGGACCGACGGCACCCAGTTTGGTCGTCAGTGACTTCATTTCCCGCTGCCAAGTCAACTTTTGTCCACCTTGAGCCTTGCGCCACTCTACAAAACAAGACCCTCCTAGGTAGGCGATGACCAGGCATACATAGCACGTGCCCGAGCCAAAGCAACTTATTCAGTGCTATCTTTTATTCTAATGAGCTAGCTTGCTTACCACTGCCTACCACATGCCTCCGCACATCATTGTTGCGGACACGCTGGGGCGACCCGACGCTAGCAATGCTCCGCAAACAACGGTGTTTGAAAACTTGAAGGCGCCTCAGGTCTTCAGACCGAAGGGGCCAAGTTTCATTACCATAAAGCATGACGACCCTCTCTGTGGCTTTGTATATACATTCTTTTAGACGGAGGAAAACTCCTTTCTGTCGCCAAAGATGCCGTAGGTTCAAGAAGTCAGTTCTGGCTTTTGCCGTGCGTAAACTGATTTCAGTTTCTATGCGCCCGTTGTTGCTGATGCAGCTGCAAGTTAAGTGACTCGATCGACCACCTCGAGTTCCTCTTTATGAAGGGTCAGGGGGTCATGAAGTGAATGGTGGTCCTGCAGCAACACTTTGCACTATGAAGGTACGATGCGCATGCCAAATAATGGGACCATTCAAGAGAGGCTATTCAGGATTGATTGTGCCGCCCCAACGTGATCGAAAAACGTGACGATATCATCCGCATAATTATGATCAGCTAAGCTTGCACCAGACAGGACCTCAACACTTACCGTGAGATTCCGCAAGGGAACACTGCATGATAGAGTCCACGACGACATTAAACGAAAATGGGGGAATCGGACAACCCTGACGAACGCCACTTTTTGTCCGAAAGCTATCTGACAACTCATCGTAGACCCTGATGCGACTTTGTGTTCGAGTATAGATCATGTAGGATATTCACATATTTCATGGGAACACCTTTTCGCGCAAGTATTTCGAACAGAATGCACCGATCCACTGGATCGAACGCACTTTTGGTATCAAGGAATACATCTATTGTCGATCTGCGGTATGCGTGGCCCTGCTCTAGCACCGGCCGCAGGGTGAATAGGTGATCTATACAGCCACGTCCTGTGCGGAAACCTGCCTGTTCTTCCCTAGTCCGAGATTCCCGTCCCACAATGAGGCGATGAACGAGGATGGAGGCCAGTAATTTTTGTCACAACTGGCGTTATTCTAATATCCATCGCGTTAGCACAATCTGTGCGACTGCCCTTGTATATTGCCACTGGAATCGATTCACTCCATTTAGCCGGGGCCCTCTTTTCGGATAGGGATGTCAGTGTTTTACAGAGGACCTCATCTCCATCCTTAACTAGTGCAGGTGGGAGGGTATCCTGGCCAGCAGCAAGAAAACGATTGAGGGCTGTGGTCACGTTTCGGACCTCGGTCACCGACGTAGCCTCTAAACTTACCGGACATGGCTTGTCCTGCATCACCTGAGTAGGAAGAGGTCCTGGAGCATGTTGGAAACTGAACTGCTCTTAAAAGCGTTCCCCCCAGCGAGCCATATGGCACTCCTTATTGTGTAACCTTGCACCCGCGCTGTCTCTGATTGTCTCACTGACGCATGGTTTCCTGTGACCGATAGTGCGGATTAGCTGGAAGAGCTTGCGATAATTGCCTTCTGCTTCTGTTTCTTTCATTTCTTGAGCCTGACTGGTCCACCAGGCTCCGTTGTCAGGGCGCAGGCTCAGCCTGGAAGCTGAGAATGATACCTATCCCAGCTTGACCTGTGCGAACTGCATCAGCGTCTGCGGATGCATGCAAGCAATAGCGAGAGGACAAGCCGGGTTCAGGTAATTCAACAACCTTATTGAGGTCATTGATCCTAGTTTCGGACACAGGGCACACATCAATACCCATTGTGCAATGTACGTGCGAATGCAGCCTGTTGACCTATTTGTGCGCTTCAATGGAAACTGGACAGCGTGACGTTATAAGGGACTGTTGCCGGTAGGCGTTCGATGGGTGTCGCGAGAAGTTGGCTGCACATGGTTCTATGCCAGTGGCACTTCGGTTGCTGACAATTAAGCTGGGAATTGTAGATGGAAGGTTTATGATAGCAGTCTTGATGAAAGAGAAACAGGTGGAAAAAAATGAAGCGTGGCGCCAGCACTAGCATGTTTTCATTTATCCGCCCTGCTGTATGCAGCAGATAAGACGACCCCTGCTAAGCTGCGCGACGGCCGATGCAGAAGAAGTCATGTTTGTATCTGGGCTCAGATATTGCCAGAGCGCTCACCCCTAGCTAGACAGGAGGACGATTAGGGTCCTCAACCAAAGATTTTGGCTCAAGAGCCTGTCCACGATGCATCGGGGATTTGGCAATGATTTAGCTTTACAGAAATGGACGTCATCCCATTTCAAACCCCTAACCCGGAGGACCAGGAGACTGAGTTTGTCTGACCTCTAACCATTGACCAACCTGGTATATGTAGTTTTCAAGGGGCCCGGAAGTACCATGCAGTATAGCTCAATGGGTCAATGAGGTGCGCAAACCGTCGCACTACACTAATGCGCAGTCTCGCTGCACTGTCTGAGTGTATATCAACATTCGCAACTAGACAAAGTATAGATCCATTTTTGCCCGTACAAAGGTTTACCACTCATCCGTTATTCCATATCTGGCACGTTTTTTATGCGACCATACATCAGTTGTCCTGGAGCCTTAAAGCAACTGTGCATCGTAACCACACTGCTGTCTATGCTACTTATTACTCTACTTGTGTATTTATTGCTTCATTTCCTTTACTATGCTAAAAGCGCATGTGTAACAACTGAATATTCACCCTTATTTGTGCATAAAGCACTTACTTGAATTGAAAAAATATATTGAAGAAACCAAAGGAATCCGATGTGATGACAATTGGACCCTATTCTCCCGAATGTCACTTGCATCGGTGACAGCCGGTTTGATGAAACGCGTTGAATTCTGCTCTAATTTCTTCGTGCTGCTAACCATGGTAGTGGTGGTGATGTGGTTGCTCGTAAGAATGGTTTTGGTTATATCTATTCGAAACTCACATTTGAGCTGTCGTGGATTATTCATTGGTACACACTATCATTCTATATACCTGCTAAATCCGAAAATTACACCTAACATGGGATCCTTTTGAGCAGTGAACTTTGTCGCCAGATTTGCGTTTTCCGTTTGCTTGCTTGTCATCATCTATGATCCGTTTGGTTCTCTTTTCTTGTAATCCAGGCCGGGATCCTCATGGTACATGATCGCAGACCGCATGACACAGAAGTCCTTGTGGAACTAGTTCATGGCCACGGGCCTACCGGGGACCGAACAATCGTGTCCAGTTCTGCCAGTGCCTCTGGCGCTGCAGCTGGCGGATCTTCAGATGTGACCGCCGCAGTTAGCTCTGGTTTAGCTGAACCTGGTGTCAAACCGATTCACGCGTCAACTATAGGAGCTTATCTGGGCGAGGATGATGAGGAAGAGGAGGGGGTTGACGAAGATGAGGAAGAGGATTCCTCAAGCGATGTTCACGAAGAAGAGGACGAGGAAGAGGACGATGAAGAAGATGTTGCTATCGCCACCGTTGTCGCCCAAGAGTTGTCTGATAAAGCTGATGTCGAAATGGGCGAAGCATCGGTTAGCCTCCCAGTTTCTTCCAAACGTGAAAAACACAAGGTTCCAGGATCCGGTCGATCTGGCAAGTCATCAGCGGGGTCCGGTGCTGAGCCAGCACCCCCGGAACCTTTTCTGTACATAGAAGAAGGTGCAACTCCACCAGTCTCCCAAACGGCTGCAGCCACATCAAGCGCCATTCTCCCAGCATCGGCATCAGATCCTCTGCCTCATGAACCGATGGAGGTCGAGACGATCAAGGAAAAACAAAACGACGAATCAGCGAATGAAGAGGACAAACAAGACAAGAAAGACGATAATTCTTAGCGAACCGATATCCCTGATCGGGACGCTTGCTTGCCCGACAGACTTGTCACTTTCAGCTTACTTGTCGTGTGTTTTTATGCGACGCAAAAATCGGCACAATTACCGGCGTGAAATATATCACGTCTTTTTGCCCGAACGGACCTTTTCCCATAGGAGTGCTGTTCACTCGCGATGAGTTTGTGTTGGCTTATCGTATTGTAGATAGTTGTGAACTTGCAACATGGTGTTTTGTTTCCACCGCACATTTCTCGCTTTAATGTCCAACAAACTCACATTATCTTCAAATCGACCTTCCTTTTCAGTTGTCCGGTTTCATTGTGCCCGATCCATCTGTCATATTTGGACATGCACTCAGAAATCTCCATTGTATTTTCCTCGCATGTTTCCGTGTCCGCCTATTTCTCCTTGCCAACGCGAGTGTGTTTCAATTCCCAGCGCTCTTGACTATTCGCATCTCATGGTTCTAGTGCCTTGGGTTCTCTTGGTGACCCGCGCGCGTTACATTCATGCAACTTGAATTTCGGAACTTGCGCTTCTCATAAGACTTTCTTAACATGACAGCGCAGTCTTCCGTCGGTCTAAAAGTTGAGGAGTTAGGAACTGGAGGTTCTGTTCGCATTACTGACAGCTTCCGGTTTATTGGCACGCTCGCCTATCTACATTGCTTTTGTGGAGTTCGTGTCCCTCTCCTGACAGGTGGTGTGTGTGCCTGCAGTGTGCGCTGTCATGGTTGGTTGATGTCCATCCCACCCACACTTTATCACTTAGAAGTATGGATAGTATAGCCAAGCTTCCGTGTGGATCGATTTCGCACCTCCAGTATGGGTGCTACACGTGGATTGGCTCATCTGTCTTTGATATTGTCGTTATGGGTAAACTCCACGGTTAAGCATCTTCTCTGGTAATGTTCGCCACGCATGTTCGCATTTGCAGGTCAAATTCAGCAACATGATCGAGATTCGCTTCAACGCCAATATGATACCGTTGTGTTACATGTGACTGCAGGCAGCCACAGTTGGCTTGCACTATGCCACTCACAGCTCCATCCACACCGCTTGGAAGAGGTATAGTTGATTCAAAGCTGACCCACTGCTTCAACAGGAACATCATTCATAGCATGTAAGGGAAAACATGCGTACTGACGCACGCAATTTGATAACTCTGCCTTGGACCATCCCACGCCGAATAAAACCGCTCATTGAGCCTAGCATTGTCACGGAGATCGTTTACTACGTCTGCCCCAGAACCATTCGGCAGTCTTCTTGATCCAGCAATGGAGGTTGAAATATTCAACAAGTAGGTGTATTGTTTCCGTCAGCGCATTAGGTCTATCTGTTGGACGTCCCCTTAAGCCAGTACGGTCCATGATGAACGACAGGAAACAACGCTGCACTACATGCGACGGTGCATTCAGGCCAACTGGCTTAGTCTGTGTACAGGCATGTTGACTGTTAGCGCTCAATCAATCAGCACTCGTCCTGTCGTTTGCAGAGTGCGCACTTACATGGAGAGGGGAAGCAGAGAGCCAGCGGTGAGCACACACAACAATAAGCACCTCTTCAGCATTTACATCAAGCGCAACCAGATCTGGGTTATCAACGGCCAAACGCCGTGAAACAGGCGACAACACAATCTTACCAGTGTGCGTGCAATCCAAAAACTGACGTGCCGCATTACGGTCTTGAGTTAGCATATGAAACCCGAAGTGACGCACTTTTGCCGCGCTGACGCTTGCCCATATAACTTACCTCTCTTCTTTTCGACCTCGTGATAACGTTTGTGTCTCGTTGGTCGAGCTGTTCACTGAGCTTGGCAATTTTGACTCAAACTTTTCGTCCATATTCGAGGTGAAATCATCAGAGCGTAGACAGGTATTAGATCAAAGTGATTCATCAACCCGCTGATGATGTCACCTTGATTGGTAACTAACGTTAGCAGCCAATTTGCCAAATCTGGCAAACAATTCGTCTAACAAATGAACAGCCTTAGCTAACTGTTGTATCTCGGTACACATACTAGACGCATGCGTAAATCAGGCCCTGTAGCATTGCGGTATACATCCGCGAACGAAACAAGAAACGGGAGGAACTCGCGTAGGACTGTATTCCGGAAAGTGGCTTCGTCCGCGTACAAGCGTACTGACTTTGTTAGCGATCGATCGATAGACACATCCAACTATTAGTGAGTAGTAGGGGATTCATTAGCTTTTTGTGAAGATTCGTCGCAGCTGAACGCAGGCAGATAGTCACTACACATCCAGGAAAACGCTAGATGGCCGTTTCGTTTTACTGGTAGTCGTCAGTAGCGCGCACCTGTCGAACCCTGCCAGATTCGAACCCACGACCTTACTTTTACGAGTCAACGACTTATGCCACGGTCGTGGATGACGGCAGTAGAGCGCCATGATTAATATCTAACTGCATGACAGTGGAGGATTGGCTGCTCTATACCGCAGTTATTTATCAGTCATAGCGGTCTACTGCCGTCACCCATGGTTCAATGGCAGAAGTCACTGGATCGGAAGAGTAAGGTCGTAGGTTCCAATCTGGCAAGATTCGGCGGGTGCGCGCTAGTGACGAATTCCAGTCGGACGAAACGGTGGTCTAACATTTTCTTGAATGTGTAGTTACTGTCTGCCTGAGTCTAGCTGCGACGAATATTCATCCAACTAGTTGCAGGCTGAAAATAGGTGGAGCGCAGGGTACTAGCGGTAAGCGCACACAACACCATTCTATCTCTAAATGAATACTTCAGAATAAGCTGCGAGTTGAGTAGCTGTTCCACCGCTTGCGACGTCGTTTCTGGAACATAGCACCACATTCGGTTGAAGAGAGAGGTAAAGCTGCCCGACGTTAATTTTGCGCTCTTCTGCTGTTTCACATGGGTAATACTGACGGGGTGAGAGGATATGTGTTGCACCTGGCGTTTTTGCTTTTCGTTCAACCGGACGAAAATTCCGGAACGCATTGGCAAGACCCGCTTTTCCTAAGTGGACTGGTCGGCGGGGATGCCCAATTTGGTGGGGATCACTGTTTTCCGTGCCTGTATAGATGCGTCTAACATTTCTCGCAACGTCCTACCAAATGGTAGCTTCCATGATGTTTTATCGGTCGCTCTATAATGCAGCTTTCTGTATGTAAACGGAACTGTAATTGCTGGATCTTCTCATTGTATGCCAGACAAATTTGCCGTCTGTATATTTTCCTTTAGCAAGTGATTTGTGCGCTCCGTCATGTCTGGCAACCGAATTGTATGAAACGGTTCGTATTTATTTCACATCATAAAGTTGTACGAAACGACGGAACTCGTTTCTGTAAAATGTAGTCCGTTTTTCGTCAATATTTCTTCGGGAAGCTCAAATCAACCAACCAGATGCTTCAGGCACCGCATGACGGTTGAAATTCTCGTATCGCCTCGAATGTGGATATCAGGCCATTTGTTATAAGCGAGGTGACAACCGAACAGTTTCTATGGTGCCGCTTCCTTCAAATTTGGGGGACCTGCTTTTTTGGACGATTTACATAAGTTCTTAGTAAATCTTTGGGAGCAAGAGACTGTCCAGCCGGACTGAAGCCCCTCCTTAATAGTTCCAATTTTCAAGGGAGGCTCACATTCAGAATGCGGCAGTCATAGCGGAATCAGTCTAATCCCCATTGCCTCTGTCGTCTTCTTTAGACTGACTGGCACCCGTGAGAGCCAGATGCGCAAGGAGCAAGCCGGGTTTCGTCGAGGTCGGCTCTGTATTGACCATATCTTCACATTACATCAGTTGTTAAAGCACCACCATGTTTATTGGCGGCCCACTGTAGTCGTGTTCTTAGACATAAAAGAGACCTATGATTCGGTTGATCAGTGTGCCCTTTGGGACTGTCTACTCAGGAATGGTGTGCCCGAGAAATATGCCAATATTATCCTAGCGCTATACGCGCGTAAATTGTGCAGAGTGGAGTTTACAGCAAACTTTCACCGCCCTTCAATATCTGCAGCGGTGAGAAAAGATTGCCCGCTGTCACCTTACCTCTTTAACTTCCTCATTAACGAAGTCATGAAAACGACGTTGGCCGAGCACGACTTAGAAGGTGCTCCCAGGTGACCGACTCCTTGATTTAGATTATGCCGATGACATTGCGCTTATCTGTGATATCTCCCGAACGTGCCATGTTGCATTAGCGAAATTACCTATCGATATCAGTCGTTTCAGGCTGTCCTTTGCAACATCAAAATGCAAAGTTCTTTTCTAATATTGGCATTGGTCCATTCCTGCGCTGACCCTTGGCAGTGATCATCTAGTCGCCAAAAGGTTCAAATATCTGGGCAGCTATATCAGCGCCAGTGGAACGGAAGATAAGATCACGATACTCTTTTGCTAATCTCCGCCATCTGTGGCGCCGACGTGACGTTACTCTAGCTCTGAATGACAGAGTTTACCATACAGCTGTCTGTACAACCCTCCTGTACGGTTGTGAAACCTGGCCCATCAATTTGGCAGACATAAAAAGGCTAGTCACATTCGACCATCGCTGCCTTCGCAGCTTAGCACCGCATGAGCAATGAGCGTGTTCGGCGTCGCAAGAAAAGCGAGTGAACCGCTCAACTCCGTTATATCACGCACCAGGCTCCGATGGTTGGGCCACGTGTCACGCATGTCAGCCTACCGACTCCCGCATCATGCTTTGTTTGCGCGCCGGGGGTATGGATGGAAAAAGTGGAGGGGAGGCCAAGCGATGACTTGGTCGAGGGAAATGAAGTCCCTCACTTCGAAGTTGGCGTCGGTTGCTGTTTCCCGACTGCCTTGCTGGGGTCCGAAGGACGATGAACACGTTTTGGTTGAATACACTAGCCGACTTGGCGAAGTATCGATTTCAGTGGCGTTTGTGTTTTGAGTCTCTTTATCCCTTCCCTTTAGCTTTCCCATCCAACAACGATCACAAATGTGGTACTAACATTACATTACTGTTTATTGGTTTTAAGTCTACGTTGCTTACTATCTTACCTTTCTGTATTGCGGCACATTAGCTGAGGTGTGTTCCTCACCCTCGGCTAACGTGTACTGATGATGGTGCAAAATTGAACGGTGGAATACGAAGTACCATTGTAGCGCTTCATAGCCGCGCTGTGTGTCTCGGTAAACACACTAGGCCCATGTGCAAATCGGACCTTGTAGCACTACGTCGTACACCTGGGAATAGCACGCGTAGGACTGTGTATTCCGGAAAAGTGAATCATTTCGGGTACAGGCGTATTGACTTTGTTATCGATCAATCGGCAGACATTGATCCAGTCAGTTGCAGGCTGAAGAGTGCATGGGGCGACAGAGAACTAGCGGTGAGCACACACAACACTGCTAACATTTGCTACTATAGTCAAGTCAAAGTACGCTTTATTCGCCCGGTAAGTGCGTTTTCAGCATGTTACGCTTTCACTACGAATGGTGATATGGAATTATTGTTAAAATGAAATTGTCTACACGTATCACTCGAGAAAATAATTTCGCGTCATACTGATAGTTTTGATTGGGTCAACAAGCAAGC